AAATTTTAACTTCAAAATTTTAAAATTCTTTAAAAAAATTAAATCTTATTAAATTTATTAGAAACTGTACACATAAACCTATCTGAAAACAATGTTAATATAAAAACGGACTCACAAAAATTAAACTACCAAAATAAAAATATTTTGAGGTGATATCGGTGGTGGTAACAGTTTAGGCGTTGACAAGGTGCTCATCTATGTAAAGTGAAGGCCTCGGGGTTCGAATCCAGCGGCCCTTCATTCGAACCCGACGTATGGGCGTTGTTCTTTTTTTGTTATTGTTTTTTTTTTTAAAACACCGACATCCCGAGGATTCAAATAGCCTATTAGTTGAAATACCCTCGTAAAAAATAATATTGAATATTTATAAAAGTAATCTAGATAGTAAGTAGAATTTGTTTTAATGTGAGCATAAACATTATTTCTTGTATGTATTAATTATTTTTACTTATTTATACAAAAGCCTTTATATTCTAATTTTACCATTATTGATTTTTTATTAGTTATTTATTGTTTTTATGTCTTATAATATTGTTAAGTATTTTTTTTATATTTATAGTAATTCTGTTATATAAAATTTAAGTATTTATTTTATTTTTCTAACTGTGATCAAAATGTATTCATGCTTAACATGTTAAAACTTATTTTTCACTAAAATGAGGTATGTACATAAAGAAAGGATTTCTTACTGTTTTTTGATAAAAAGATTTATTTATTATAATAAAATATTGTAGCTCTGAAGAGGGACCAGACGAGTGGGCGGCAATTAAAAAAATATATGGCATAAAAATAAATGCTGTGTTTAGTTAAAAAAATTACAAACATTTCATATTAAAATATTTTTCCCACCAAATTAAATTAAAATTAATAACAAATAAAATTTGTATTAATTATACTAGGCCTATTGCCTAAACATTGGAAAATATATATTTTTTTTAAGTGTGTAATAAATAAAGGAACGTATAATGTCAAAACACTATGCACAATAAATAAAAAGCCTCCATATTTCTAATATACATTTCACAAGTATTAATCAATTAATATCACATTATAACAATAAGCACCCTTGAAAAATTTTTTTTTACAAAAGTCATTTAAATAAACGTAAATTTCTAAATAAATTACTAAATAATTACAAATTTTATCTAGCTGTATACATTACTATCTTTCAAAATTTTAAATAGTTTTCTTTTTTTAATAGATTTTCATTATTATTTAAAAATATTTTGTACATAATATCACTTAACCTTTCATTCTTGATATATTGTTCATTGTTAGGATCAACTGGCTATTTAGTATGTAATATAAAAACATCATTATGCACTATTTTAGTTACAAGGGAAAACTGGGGTATGAGTACATTATCATTTTTTTTAAAATGAGAACTAGGTATAAAACTGACAGCACAAAATTAATCAGTCTGTAAGTGAGATTGCATCCTAAGATTGTGATAAATTTAGGATTCTGAATAACCTTAAAGCTCTAATAATTTTTATCACCCTTAGATGCAAGTCAAAATCACTTTTGTACATTTTGAGATTTTACAATTTTTTAACAACCATTAGCCACTACTTTTTTAAAAAAATAAATAAGTCGAAAAAACACCCTTTCCTTTGGAATGGCAAGAACGGAAGTAGAATTTTAAACTAAATCCGCTAAATAATTATCCGTCATTCGAGGTGTTGAGAGGCGGTGAATAAGTGTCATACTGGTATGCTCGCTTCGACCATCCGCCTTGCCCACCGTTCCCCGACGCTCCCCATCCTCCTCCTCCGCCTCCCCAAGAATCGCCTCCTCCACCTCCGTGCCAGTCGCCGCCTCCTCCATATCCTCCACCGCCTCCTCCGTAACCTCCGCCTCCGCCTGACCAGCCACCGTGGCCTCCTCCTCCGTTTCCGCCTCCTCCGCCGTACGTTTCGTGGACGATGTGGAACGTACCGCCATGGCCACTGCCGCCTCCGCCGCCACCGTGTCCACCGCCGCCGCCGGACCAGCCCCCTCCACCTCCGCCGGACCAGCCCCCTCCACCTCCACCTCCGCCGGACCATCCTCCTCCGCCGCCTCCTCCATGACCTCCTCCGGTAGTCAAGACTATTACGTGCTCGTGGCCACTACCATCTAAAAACATGAAAAACTTATTACTTTATTTATATATATAAATATATATATATATATCAAATAATGCTTTATAACATCACAAAAAACTGGGCAGAGAAGGGATCTGCAAGACCAGTTATAGGCCCCGAACATATAATTGATATAATGAGAATGGGTCTTCAAAAAACAAAAAGGGTAGTGGACGAAATCAGACGTGCCAGACATAGTGACTAGTGGTTATAACCCTCGCCCTAACCAAAAACATTGCCAGTTAGACATGGTGAAATTCAGACGAGTGTAGGACCTCCACACATACTGGCATCTGAGAAAATACCTATTCAATATGGGTATATCATTGAACCCAAGGTTCGACCCAACCCTCTCAACCCAACTTTCGCACTCAAAACCAGGAGTGCTCAAGACGTCTTCTTCTTTAGCTATTGTAAAATGCCAATCTAATATGAAGATTAACGCTTTCTTAATTAATAATGCTTTCTTCCACTGTGACACACATTGATTTACCATTTTATTACTCTTAGCATATATGTCGTTGTACTGCACATAATTCAGCCTCTCAATGTCCAACCATACAGAAGCAGCACAAGTGAGTGAAAGTAGTATGGCCCCTCTATGTTGTCGTCTGCACCCATATCCTCGCTAGTTAGGACCCGGGTTTACCTCTTCCTCTACGTCTTCGCAAACAACAACTTCATCCAAGGCTCACGAGGCATGACCTCGCATTCCGTGGTCAAGTACACAGCTCTTCAGCGAGGACCCTGGTTCCACTTCCTAAGAGGCCTTGACATCTAAGGTAGTAACCATGTCAGTTGATCAATTAGGTGCAAAGACCGTCAGTCACTGTCAGTTGAGATGGATTCAGAAGCAGACATCGTTTGTGAGTAGAGAGAGACCGGTAGTCAATGTCAGTCAATGTGTGAAGCAATGCAGAAAGTAAATGATCACCAAAATATCAGTGTATTAAGGATTATAGGAGGATTTCGGACTGTCATACCATGCAGCAATAGTTCTGGATGGAATTATGCCTTATATATAAGTATGAGAAATAACAGATATTTACCATACACTAAAATGTAACCAGCACGGAATATTTCCCCAATACCAATCAGACTTAGATGTAGCTGCAACAAAATGTTCACACCCAGCAGAAATTGAAAATGTTCTCAAAGAGGAAATAGAAATTCTTGGTTTTGAAGCCTTCACTGATGGAAGAAAAGGCGGTCTACGCCGCCATAATTTATAAAAGTGAAACCTAGATTAAAATAGCACAAAATAGATTGGCGTCCTGGTGCTCTAATAATCAGGTGGATCTTTTGGCTTTCCACGAGGCATTATAATGGGTTTTAAAGCGCGGTGAAAAGGCGGATTCATTAACAGTAAGAACAGAGAGCACAAGTTCCAGATCCATAATTAAAGGGGATAAAGCAGTGTGATGTGAGGAAGGGAACATATTACATTCTCAAAAATACCACCCTTAAACATTAAAAATATGAAGAGGGATATGAGTATCATAGAATTAAATAATATATGATCGGATGCAAAAGAAGGCAGTATAACGAGAACCAAATCCCCACCATAAAAGAAAGAATGACAGTCTGCATCACTCATACGATGTCGTTGACGGGCCACGGAAGGAGTAGGGCTTTTCCTGTGAAAGCTCAGATTGTCAGTGTGGAAAAAATCAGCAAACATGGAAATATATTCTATAAGACTGTGACCTACAATCCGTTAAGATCAAAAAATTTATAGACTATAACGTTAAAAGGAGGAAAATGGCCGATAAAAAATATATATTTTTCCAAAATTTACACAAGAGTCTTTCAGTTTCATAAATTCTATAACCATTATGACTATTATAACCATGACTTATATTTGAAGTGTTCTTATTTATAAATTGTTAATTGTTAATCTTAAAAACAAACAAACGAAAATGCAGGAAAAAATGTAAGAATATTGGGAAAAATGTCCGACAGAAATAGAGTTGAGATGAATAGTAGGAGTTAATCAGAGGCCGGCAAAACCTGAGTCGATTTCAGTTAGATGGAGACCAGCCAACTGAGTGGGGCGTAGGGCATCCCTAGGTCTTCGTCATCAAGAGGGGGGCCACCACCGCCCAACAACGTTCCTCCCCCCGTATGAAGACCGTACGCTGATCAATAAAATTGATTTTAAGCCAGAGGATCCTTCCGTTAAACTGGAGCAATTACTTAATTAAAGCTCTTTTGCCCGAATAAGACAGCTGTTCGAGGGAGACATCCCGTGCACACATACATCCAACTACGAAAATATCCGCTGTGTGGGTGTGTACATTTTTATGTATGTGCTTTATTTATGGGAAATTCGGCCAAGTTTATTGAAATTTACCTTCACAGTTGCTGCTGTACAAATTAATTAAAAACCTAAAAAACATTTACCGCATTAAGCTGATATCCAAGCATGAAAAATCTCTTTGTGAAAGGGAGAAGTATCAAAATATATATTTTCAAAGCCGTGGTATTAAAATATAAAACAAAATGCTAATTTTTTTTTAAATGCGCCAAACTCGGATAGTTAGGACCATAGTAATTGTGTGGATTAGTGATTTTTGGTTTCATTGGTCATCGGATGATCTGATTGCACTTTCTACTACAAAATCTGAAAAATGTAAGTGACCAAAATGTACCTTATGGGGTCAGTAGCGGACAATTTGTTGAATTGTTCTACCACCAAGAATTAAATTCTTAGTTCTGTTATAATCGGTCAATTTTATACAATTAAATCGTTATTTAAATAGTTAAACAAAGCGGAAACATAGAACGGAATGTCATATTAAGTCTTGGAAAGTATGAATTTATTGATTGACACCAGTAAAAGTGCATCCCGAAACGTGAAGGTATTTTTAAATGTTAAGCGCTCATGTTGAAAGGTGTCAGCCGTGCTAAAAGAAAACAATAAAAACGGCTATACTTATAGCGTAGATTAAATTGCATAGGATTTGGTTTTCATCCGATGCGTCGGTCTAGAATACAATTCCTTTGCACTTTTGCGGTTTGTACTTACCGTCGCCTTTTTTAGAAGCGAGCATCTTAAAAAGTTGTATTTTTGACAGGAGAAGAGCAATAGCGCCGATCATTAGAGCCTTCACGGCTTTTAGTTTGATCATGCCCAACGACATCAGGGCCATTTTTCCCATCATGCCCATCATAAGCATGCCCATCCCGTTCCCTTTCTTTCCGCCGATCCTCTTCCTGCCGGTGGCTAAAAAATCACATTAAAAAAGTTAGCTTTCGAATATCCGTGGATAAAATGCAATTTAGAGGGGAAAAAACCTGCTGTGAGCGCTCGTCCTAGATCGACGTTGACAGATTGGCCGGATGCGTCCGCCCATTCGGGCAGTGAAAATTTGACAATCCTCGTGTCGAGAAAATCGTCCAACGCTCTCCCTAGAAGGAACCAGATCCCGTCTTTTTTCAGCCTGGCTTCCGGCAAGGGGAAAATCGTCGGAAGAGTTTTATTTCTGTTTGGCACCAAGCTCATCCAACTCGTTATGGGTATCTCTGAAAATTTAATTACGTCATATTTAAACAAAACCTTTTTATTTACTGAAATGGTCTGTGCTTAACCCACTTCATTCCGACCTTTGTACATTGTCTGAAAAAGCAGCGCAGTCGGAGCATGAACGAAACTAATTTCCCATAGCAGACACTATTAATTTTTCCCCTTTCGTCCTATTTTCAACGTGTATAATTTTTTTGCCAATTAAAATAATACATAAGTTAGAATAAAGCATGAAGCCATTTGCGGCCGTTGCAGCGGGTTTTTTAAAAACAAGTCCTGCCATTGAAAGATCATCTGCTCATCCATAGCCGCGTCTAGAAGAAACATGCCCTACATTTGCACTATCTCCTGGAATATGCGGTGTCACGTTTTTTGGTACGCAGCTTCATCTCCATTCATATCTAATCCTCGCCCTTAATCTTAAAGCTTTATATCTTATCCACGAATATAAAAAAAAAGTTTTATGCTAATGCACTTTATTAAAGCTATCAGTATCAACAGATCCTGATCACTTGGAATTTTATAAATGGAACGTTTAAGATTTATTAAAATAGTTTATTTACGTAGCTCTTTTAGAATTTTTACATTTGATATCATTATTACTTACATTATAACATACAATTAAGTTTTATCGGGTATCAATTATATAAGACAATTTAGAGAATAGACGGACAGGAGAATAATAATTTAATAATAAATAATTTAAACAAACGACTAAACAATTAAAACCTCACAAATCTTAACTTTTTTAATTTCTAATATTCACAGACCATTGAAAGAGTATTCATATTTAATATTATAATAGAGAATAATATAATCTTAATAGTGATACAGTAGTGGTTAATAGCGAAATGAAATGGACCAGGTATGAATAACAACAGCAAACAATAAATCACCCATAGACTATCACTTCTTGACGTTTAGAATAGATCTAGGCGTTTTAATTATCCAATTGCCATTATTTTACATTTACATAGACAATCCTTCAACATTTAGCCAAAACCAGCAGCATACCACACCGAGCAATAGCAAAATCGACCGGCCAGAGGTAAATTACCATAACGAACTACAAACAACTACATATAATAATTCACTTCTTGTCTAGAATAGATCTGGGTTTATGGATTATTCTAGTATCAACATTTTACCTTTGATATTTCAATCTTTAGCGAAAACAACTAAAATACCAAATCGAAAAATAGCGAGAAAAGGTTAAATATGAAAAATAGGGAGTCTTTCGAGAGGACAATATCGACTGGTGGACCGGAAGCAAGAACTTGCTGGGTTTTTGTCGTTCTAAGTAGCGTTGATCGAGGATGTTCTACTCATATTTGCAAATTTGCTCCCCAGGTAGCAACCTCCTGCTGAGGAGACCTCCGTATATAGCAACGCTTTTGTTAGAGATAGAGAGCGATCATCTCGTCATATATCCGATGTGATGACGTGATTTTTTATGCGTAGGTACTTTACCTTTTCTCTTGGTTAGATTCTTTTCCCTTCGATCTTAATCACGGGGCTATTACATAATTTGCCTTTCAGCATCAACTTCACTATATTTGGGTTTATGAATTATTCCGTTATCGATACTTAACCATTATATAAATAATTTTTCGGTATTTATCCGAAACTAGCACCAAACCACACTGAGCAATAGCCAAAAACACGGACCAGTAGTGAATAATCATAGTGGACTACATACCACCATAAACTTTCACTTCTTAATGTTTAAAATAGATCTGCGTTTATGAATTATCCTGTTACCTACATTGTGCCTTAAGATAGACAATTTTCCAACATTTAGGCCCAAGGAATACGACACCAGACCGAGCAATAGGCAGAAATGAAGGGCAAGAAGTGGATAAATATATAAGATAGGAACATGACTCATTGACACTCCCGGTTTTAACTTGTAAAACATAATTAAATGCATTAATTATCATGTCAGCGGAATAAACGGAAACTTGCCGACTCTGGCATGAAACAACATAGTCACCGGAACATGTCCTATGTGACTGTAAAGCATTAGCCCGGAAACAGTACAGCCACTACCGAAAGGCGGAACTAATGCCTTGGGGGGAAAAAACAAGAGGAACCTCGGAATGTGTTCAATTCCTCAACGGTGCACTTTATGGGGTACAGTAATAAATAATAGTAAAGTAAACAATAGATCTTTTAGACCGCAATGGAAGAGTGGGATACTATACTCATCAGTGACCCAGGGGATCAATCTGTTAGGGATATTTCCATAATACGCAGGTTTTTCAATATTTAACCTAAACGCGTAGGACATTAGACCGCCCAATGGTGAGAGACGATTAGTCAAAACCACCCGAACTCACAACAATAGAGCCAAGCTATTAATTATTCCCCGTGGTACAGATGTTGAAAATGAAATACAAATGAAAATACAAACAAACGATGCTTACAAGGACCGGTCGATGTCACCTATAGACAAAGATAAGGCCGACACCTTCCTCTTACTTTACACGAAATTATTACAGCAACACGACTAAACAAAAATCTTACTTACACACCACTGAAGATGGGGAGATGCACAACTGACAGACTAAAACAGCGAGGATAGGCAGGTCTAAATAATCAAAAACGACAATACTCACGTCCATTACCCCCGCAGACCCCTGAGAAAATCTCAGGTAAATCTTCCATAAATTCATCCTTACTCATTCGTCCAATAGAGAGAAAAGAGGGCTCAAAGAGAAGCGGTCCATAAACCCTCTCATTTTTAACGTCACCGATCATCTTGGCCAGCCTATGATCGCTGGGTTGGTCTGTCAGGTGCGTTTCGGCATTTTGCACCTTGAGTGTGTCTATTCGAGAAAAGAACTAATTTGTTTGGTGGCCCTATTATCCAGAACAAACTTAGTATTTTAGAATAGTTCAATGGCAAAACGATTCCGATATCTGGCCGACCTACAGTGAGAATAGATCGGAGGTGGATATCTAACTATTGGAAACTTGAAGTAAAACCTTGTATGAACTTTTTTTTTATCAATTCTTTAGGCCATGGGAATTCGTTATTGCTCAATATGGCCCAGTCGTTCCCGTGTATTGTCGGTAAATACTCCGACATCAAAGGCTTGGATCTAGACGGTGACAACAGCTCGGCTTGAACACCCGTTCCCACGATTTGTTGTGGTTTATTACAATTAATTGTACCGGTTTATTCTTCTACCGAATAAATTTTTCCACATCTATAAATCAGCGTTGATTTTTAGATCGAAATTGACTTCATTAAAAAAATTTACACAATGTGTCACAAGGTATGGTAATCTGATATTAAATAATGTTGGTTCTCTGGTTGCTTCTCTCGCTAACGAATCCGCTTTTTCATTTGTACTTGTACTTTATTATTATTCAATTATATTCGTGCTTTCCCCAAAGTTGCAATTTTTCTTGTCCCAAAGTCGTCCCATTTTTCCCCAAAGTAGTGGTGTTTTCAACCAATTTCCCCAAAGTAGGATCCCCGCTTGCGGTTGCAATACGACAGAGCACGACACATCACAAGTCGGTGAGTACGCTTATCAAGCCTACGCCGCGCTGTGAGAAAAAGGCTTATGACGCCAGACGGAGCGAGACTTGATGGACCAGATGTACAGGACAGTAGCAAAGTAAAAATCGCCTGTAAACCCTCCCTTCGGCATATTTAGTAATTACTTTTAATATCACGATATTTCACTGATCCACAGATTAATTTTCAATGCTTTAGATGGAACGATATGACACCAGACGGAGCAATACTTAACGGACTAGAAGTACATGACTATAGCAAAGTATAAATAAGTAAGTATAAAACTATCCCTTCTTGACGCCTATAGATGACTTAGGTTTATTTTTTATAAATTAATGATAAGATAGACCAGAATCGAGAACTAACTTCATATGTACTATATATGAATGAGTGAGTATCTTGGTCGTTTCCGATTTATTTTAATATGCCTATTTTTCTTCTTTTTTTTTTTGTCTGTCAGATACCATCTTTTGTTAGTATTTTTGTTTAGTCAGATCTCTCTTATATATTCGTTGTGAAATGTGAAAGGAGCGTGTCGGTGTTGTCTTTGTCTGTCGGCGTCTTTGACAGATTAACTCTGGGTTTTTCTTTCTCCCAGTCAGTCATTGTGACCATCGGTTCTTTTCCTTTTTAATTTGTCTTGTGTTTTAAACGGTGTAAAAAATGTTTGTGAGAAGCTGTCGATTTGTACTCTGGAAGTTTCTCGAATCTTGAAAATTAAAGATTTGTGTGCAATACTTCAATGTCTAGAAGAAACGAGTACCGGGCAATATGTTCAATAAATTGTAGATTTATCCCGTTTTTTGTTCTTGTAATCTGTGGTCAGGTTTCAGTATGTTCATTTTTAGTCCTGTTTCTACTTCAAATAGTTAATTCTAAGCATAAACAACAAACAAACAACAAGAATAATCAACATTCAAATTAAGTTATAACTAACAATCCATTCGCCCATTAAGGATTTGAAACTGATCGTTTTAATATTCAATGTTTTTTAAAAATAAGCCGACGGTGAATTAATTTATTAAGGCAATTTAAATGATTTATTAATGATGAATTATTCAACACCCGCGAAATGCACAGAGAATTATAAAAAAGGTCAAACGTTTCTGGAATTAATTATTAATTTCATTATTAATTAAATGGCAATATAAAATATTTTTAAGATAAGCGTTATACTTTTATATTTTCTCTCTCTCTCTCGCTCTCTTTTCTTCTCAGCTAAATAATTTTGCCGTTATGAAGTGATAACGGCAAGAAAAAACTGGGCCAATCAAAGCTGACATAGAATAGTTGGACGTCTTAACTTAAGAATATGATAAATAAATATTATATCAATCCGTATTTATCTCGTAATTGGTTTCTCCCTCATAAACTTTTTCTCTCTATCCCTCTCAGTCACTCACCTTTTTTCTAAAACTCTCTCTCTCTCTCCCTCCTCTTTTTCTATACTTATCTCATATACTCTCTTCCTATGTTGTATCATTGTTTGCAGCTACTTATTTGTAGAATGTTATACTTCCGGCAAGCAATCAGAATAGGTTACATATACATCGTCATAATGATTTTTACAAGGGAGAAAAATGGTTAAAATAAAATAAAAAATTATAGTAAAGTAACTCCTGTCATACAGCAGGGCTTAATGTCCAACCGTTGGGTGCCGTGGACCAAACCACTGTACACCTTTTTAAATTCAAATTATTATGAATTAAAATTCCTTGTGTGTTGAACCTAGAACCGCAGGCGAGTTAGTTACGATAACTATGAAATTTTAATTGATAATAATATCGGTAGGATCATGTAAACAGTGTTTCATGGAATAGCTGTTATGTTATTATGCAAAATGTTTTTGTTGTCCCTTTAGTTCGCTTGTACTGTTTTAAAGTAATTTATAAAAACATGCTATTAAATAGGACATTTAATGGCCTTAATAATTATGGGTAACGTTTCTATAAACTGTAACAGAATTGAATGAATAGCACAATACAATTTGCATTCCATTATTAGAGAGTAATTAAGAAAATGGATAGTAATAAAATATATAAGAAATCCCAAGATTCGGAGTTAATAATAAAAAAACATTCATCTGTTCCGTGTTTGTTTTACTTAATTCGGGTCAACACAGGAAGAAAAACATAATATTTTCCTTTTATCGTATTGAATATAATACGCGAGAAAGCCATAAACGAAATATATCAACAGGAGACACTTGCCTTTTTCTCCCCCGACCTCCCGTCGGCCTATTCCTATGCTGAGATAGCAGACAAGAACAAAAAGAAAGTGTTGATAACAACAGTGGAATATCCGCCAGAACGGTGCCGTAACTAAAATGAACACCCTTCAGGTCATGAATGGACAATAGGCTTTGTAGAGTATCCCATGGAATAGAGGTCGATCGGGTCGAGATTCCGGCGATGGTGAGCTTACTACACTGTCACATTAAATAATGGCGTCTTCTTTTAATAATTACATTAAGATTTTTAAATTTCAAATCATACTTCCATTCAACCATCTTAGCCATGGTTAGATTTTGATGAAATACTGTTCATGCATGACATACTTTCTTTACTCTTCATAAATATTACATAAATTTCTCATTTTTATAAATTTACAAAAACTATCTGTTATAATTATTACTACTGTAACCTCTGTTATTAAAATTGTAACAATGATCAGAAGTAATTAATAATTGTTAGGTCGGAACAAAATAAAAAGAAAAATAAAGAAAATATTCTACCACGGATTTTAATTAAACAAATATATAACACTTCAATAAATTTGAACAATCATAGAAAACATTATTTGTATGTCGTGAGATGCGGTCTGGTGAGACGTAGGTTTTAGAAAAACATTTTCTTTATCGTGCCAACGTTTCGCTCTTTATTGAGTTCATTTTCAGGGCTCAAAGTGTTAGTTTTCCTGGTAGATTTGTCATTCTTGTCTGTCGTGTTGAGAGTGCCAAGAAGGCAGTGGGCATGACAGACAAGTATGACACATCTACACGGAAAACAAACACTTTGAGCCCTGAAGATGATCTCAATAAAGAGCGAACGTTAGCACGATAAAGAAAATGTTTTTCTAAAACCTACAATACGTCACACCAGACTGCATCTCACAACCTCCAAATAATCATTAAGTAACGGTCACTAAACACCACACAATCGTAGAAAATTTGAAAACGAATTAAAATAGATAATGAAACAATATGGATAACTAATTAAGTTGAATAATATGTGTAAAGGGGAGGAATATCAAGTACTCCGTGACAATGACGGGCCATAGTGTTACCAAATGAGCATACCAAAAATTAAAAAATAGGCATTTTCACGTTTTACAAGTTAATTCTAAAATAAAATCGTTGTACAGAAAGCTTTGATGATAGTACACACGAGACGACAAGGGAGTGAAAGAAAACTAGCTAGAATAGGCAGACTTTAAAAGGTAGGTTGACTATCTACTCACACCATCCAACACCATCTAAATTAACATTTTTATGCTTATTTGTTCTTGTAGACCATAAAGAACGTTTACCCAAACGACTAATCGATAATCTCTATCAAACAATTCATTAAATAGTCATACAATACAGTAGTACAGTAAATAAGGAATAAAGTTATATGTAGACTCGGTTGGTTTGTACCAAGATAAAAAAAAATAGGTGTCTTCGCAGATTGTAGCTAAAAGTGTAACTTTATAACTTAATTGAAAAAATCAACATTCATCCTCAATATTTCTTTTAAAGTTTGCTTTACGTTGTGATGGAACCCCATTATATATTATTGTTTAGGTAAATTCAAACATCTTTTAGTTCTAGCTGGAAATCTGCTGGAACTAAAAGCTTTTTGAAGTTGCCTAAGCATAACATAGCATGACTTTATTTTTATAACATTCGTCCCCCCATTATTTTTATAACATATTAAAAATAAAGGCCGACCTGCCAAGCAAGAAACTTGGTACTGTGCAATAGGAGAAACTAGGCGTAGTCATTATTGGTAGATTGTTTTCAACTCTGATGTAGTGAAGGATATATCCATATCTAAAAAATCTGTTATCACAACAGAAAAAAGCTGCCTCTGGATTCAGGGAATGACAGATGACTTTTACCTGTTTACTAGCAACCAGTTATGTTTCGGGTTTCTGGATAATCTTTCGCGCTTCCCTAATCTCAAGGTGTATACATTTGTGAACCAAAACATTTGCGAACCATTGAATATATTTCTTCTAACGAACATCCGAAGATTAATGGAAAAACAACGAATGGTCAGCAAACCAACAGGAGTCTTGCTTGATCCTTAGAATAGTAATGACTTGCGTGGGGAAACACGCGATTTTGATTATGAGTGGTGTGGTGCCTCTTTTGTGAGTTTGGGCAATAACAGTAGGAAATGGAGAACGGTTCGTCCGGCCCTCCAAACCCAGGCCCAATATTGCCAACCATGGTATTATTGGGTCCTCCAAACCCAGACCCACTATTGCCAATCATGGTATTATTTTTGTCAGAGAAATAGTCAGTCACCACTCCATTAGTAAGAACAAATAGAATCATACATGCGTCCTTTCGTTGGAATACAATTCATTTTTTTACTTCCACTTAATGCACCTAGTACTTTTCTGTATGCGTTCATAGATATGACTAATAAGGAGACAACATTCCTTTTTCGAGCATCCGCTTATGGGAAGTTCGACTGGATTTGAATATTTGCAATATAAATACATATAAATATTGAACTATTTGAAGGCAATTGCTGTGCATGTATACAAAATAATTATGTAAGCCGACTATTTAAACATTAAAATTTCAATTTAACATTAAAGATTAGGGAAATTATGTTTCATAACGTCAAATACAAAATTTTGAAAAGCAGCAATATTCGAACCCAGCATATTTGAATAAATTTAATTACACTAGTGTACAATATTATGCAAAATTCTCCTAAATCGTTCGACTTTAAGTGTGAATGTTAATTTACAATTTAAAATGTATTATGTATATGTAAATATCTGCTACCCAAAAATACTAATTACTTCTAACTACCCTCTATTCATTATTATTTATTCTTTAAGCATACCGGTATCAAAATGAAATAAAAAACAAAAACAAATTAAGTTAAATATCATTAAAAATTATATAAATGAACCGGAAATATTATAAGTGAACAACGAATACAGCCTAAGAAAGATTAAAATAAAATAATTTAAAAAATTAGTATGAAGGAAAGATAGTTGAAATTTAATTTTCGAGTAGGAGTTTTTTCTAAGCGTTATTTTCAAAATATCAAAATATGAGCTGTTACTTTTCAACTATAGTAAAGAAAATTCTTTGTATGTGAAGTTTTTTAAGTTGACCTTTTAACTTGACCAACAACCAACTGCAAGCTAATCTCATCTTGTGGTGTGGATATAAAGCAAATAAATCTACTTATGACACTAATTGTAAGATAAAAAAATACCTTGTCTTTTAAAATCAGACTGTTTGCTAATTAACATCGTTCACATGGTAAAGTTGGTGCTTAATTATTTATTTATAATATTAATATACTCAAAGATAAAAACTGGACACTCATATTTTGTTGTTTATTTCAAACTATATGTATTTTTCGTTATATTTATTACAACATTCTTAATTTAATGTAAACCAAATTAAAAACAAGATCAGAAAATCATGGGTTTTAATAAAACGTTATTTATTTATGAAAGTTTAAATCATAGTTCACCAAAACACTGGAAAATTATTTAGTGATAGATTAAAATTTAACTGAAAATTTATTCTATCACTAAATGATTTTCCGGGTTTTTGGTGAATTTTCATCCCAACCATCATAACTAAATATTTTTTATTACAACTCATAAATTTCTGATCTCGATTAATTTGGTTTACATTTAATAATTAACATAACAATAAAAATACATACATGTAGTTGGAATAAACAACAAAATAAGAGTGTCCGGTTTTTGCCTTTGAAATATATTAAAATTTAAAATAAAAATAAAAACCTATTTTCAGAGATGGATAATCGAATAAAAACTCGGTTTTGTATAAAAAAAACATAAAAATATTTCTTTCGAATCACCTGGTATTGAATTGATCCTTTCGGCTGCGTTGACGATTTTCTGCTGAAGGCATGACAAGGACGAGTTTCCGACGCACGAGGCTGTCGCAGCCGCGATCTGCACCGCGATGAAAAGCAGCAGCATCTCTGCTGGTGCTGTGCCGTTCGAGCCCCTTTTATGGTTTCCATCTCACGACCCTGGGAGAAGGGATAGTGGAGCACACTTTTCACCAATTGACTCGTACCGCGGGCGCGCTGTTTCCTAGACAGCCCTAGACGAAACGGGGATTGTGGATTTTTCGGCATTTCGCCGGTTCAAAATGAAAGCATTGAAGTAATAATTGGTAAAATCAAGTTTGCACGTACTTTAATAAACAATAAATTAATGCGTAAATTTAAATTTTACGATAAATTAATCAAAACTTCGGAACAACATATGCTATAATTTAACATCCAAATACATAAAGATCATCGTTGCATCTTATAGTGTTGAATCACCAATAATCATCTTTATACATCCATTAAACAACAGAAACTGCTCTGTACCATTTAAACAGTGACCTGAGGTAAACACTAGAAGCAAAAGAAATAAGAATATGGCTCGTTCCTCGACATAAAAGGAGCCTTTGATAATGCATCACTTGCATCCATGAAGGTCTCCCTAGGGAAGAAACATATAGATCATACCACATCTAGATGGATTGGAGAAATGTTAAGAACCAGAAAAGCTGAGACTGAGGCATAGGAAAAGACACTATACAAGTTAGCACAACCAAAGGATACCCGTAATGGGGAGTACTATCACCTCTGTTATCGAGCCTAACAGTTGACGAATTGCTTGCCGGCAAAGGTATAAAGTGTCAGAGCTAGGCAGATGATATAGTCCCGACCGCCAGGAGGAAATTATAAAAACCCTTTGTAACATAATCCAAGAAGGGCTAAAAATTACAGATGAATGGTGTAAAACCGCTGGTTTAGGGGTCAACCCTAATAAAATAACCATATACATGGAAAAAATGAATCACACGAAACCTATAAAACTCAATAATACTGTGATAGAAATGAAGAATAGGCCAAATATCTAGGTGTCACACTAAAAAAAATTGGGGATGAAGACTGGGAACCCTGCTCTGGATGGTGGTGAGAACTATTCTCACATGTGGCGCCATAGCCTGGGTCAATAAATAGAACAAATAACAAACGAAGAGAACTCACAAAAATTCAGAATTGCAAGCATCAGCAACGGGAGCGACGAAAATATGTTCCATAGCTTGTACGGAGAAGATACTGGGTTAATTTTCGTCCACCGTATGATACTGAGGATTGCAAGAAAATTATCATTAGTGTTATCAATGGGAAACAACTAAAATGGAATAAATCTAAAATGGAGAGAGAGAGAAAAAAAAGAGAGAGAGAGCGAAAGAGAGAGAGAGAGAGAGAGAGAGAGAGAGAGAGAGAGAGAGAGAGAGAAGTGAGAATAACAGTTTAATGAAAGACCATCCGATACTCATGGTCGCAAGAAATGGCATTAACGTGATATTTAAGTTTAATCAAAATTTCAAAATAAACTTAGGTTCTAAAAAAGAATGGGAAAAAAGAAAAACACTTCTTTTAAGAATGGCACCATGTACTGGTTCACAGACGGATCTAAAAGGCAAAAAAGTTCGGGGGCAAGAGAATCCTGGAACCAAATTCTCAGAACCGATGGGAAAATACATCAGTGCCTTTCAAGCTGAGGTCCACGCAATCGAGATATGTACTCAATTCAATGTGAATAAAGGGTACAAAATAATAGCTATCACGACAGATAGCAAAACACCCATCAAAGAGCTAAGTTTTAATTCTAGTAGTAGTTCTATTTAGCTCAAAGATGTGCTGTATTGCAAAACTAAACTAAACAAATTAGGCATGTAAACCAAAATCCATTTGCTGGGTGTCAGGAAATGTCGGAGTAGAAGGCAACGAGAAAGCCCTTGATGCCCTTGCAAGAAGAGGGCCTGCTATACCGCTGAGCCCTTTTTTAGCAATCCACACTAACAATAAGCGCCGCAGATAGAAGGAAAATGAGGGAACAATACAACTCACTCATTGGACACAAACAATCCAAGAACCTGCTAACAAACTTTGGAAGGAAAGAGGTAACAGAATGCAACAAAGGAAGCAAGAAAAACTGCGAATCCTAACAGGATTCTTCACAGGACACTGCAAACTGGATATCTGAAGAAGATTGGCCAAACCCAACAGGGCAAGTGCAAACTTATTAACTGTGGTGCTAAACTTTCCCGCAGGAGGAAGTGTTTTGGGACGTACGATATAACCGTACAAGAAATTCGACGACTGAAACTGGGCCTACTAATCAATTTACTTGATAAACTAGGATTCTTATAAGCACAGAACGGGGGATATAATAGCCCTAAAGGGTGCAGTTAATACACACTCCGACTAATACGGATATTTGTGGATGAAATATTGATCAAAACGACATTGATTTTACCAATCTTATGTGTTGTATTAATGTTGTAAATTGTATTCGTTTATTAATAGAGTACGGTCTGCTGTCTCCTCCCTTTCTCTTTTTTCCTGTCTCGCCCCCACAGTTTACCTTATAAACATACTGTTTTATGTGAACTTCGAACAGTGCTCAAAATCTCATCAGGTCACATTTTTCACATAATTTAAATTGCTTTCTTATCATGGCGGCATATGCAGATCAATTAAAATTACAAACTTTTCCATTAATTTTAACTTTGAGGACATTCCTATTCCCTCATTATGTTTTGCTAGTTGGCTAAGAAAATATTTCAGCTGTATGATCTTGTCCTAAGACGTTTTTGTTAAATAAATAAAATATTCTGTTGAAATAATTAAAACATATTTTATGTGTTATATGATTTTTAAGACGTGATTAGAAGTACAAGAAATGTATTATTGACTTATCTACACTCCAATGGTTTTCAATTGTGCTACTGTTTGGTTAAAGGAGTTGCTCGGACAGAAAGAGAAAAGCAAATTAGATTTACCGTGAACTTTCCCCTTTTTCCCGAACACCCAGATATCCAAATGAGCGCCATGACGAACGAATCGGTGTAAAAATAAAACGCAGGTCGTTTCATTTGATGTCTTTTATTTCACTCTTGTTGGAATAAATAATTAATTACATTTATTGGTAGACGGGAGCGTAGCGGACGAGGCGAACGAGTGGTTCGGGGTTGTAAGCGTACACGGGTCCTGAAAGGGGTTTGACGTCGGTGTACTTCACACTGGCGACAAAGTTGGTCGGCTTCTCTTCCATTTTATACGCTTCGGTCATAGGTGCGACTTGTTTCACGAAGTAAGTCGGTTGGAAAGCCTTAAAATGTTAATTAAAGGATTACTTTTCATTATCTGTAGCAATTTATAATCTAACAGTTTTTAGAGTAAGAATCAAACACGTGTATTTCTTTAAAAGAAGTTAATTTTTAGCAGTGAACTATTCTATAACAAAATAAATGAGACTGTTTGGAGGAACTGTAAAGAGGGGACTTTTACAGGTTTCATCGATCGTTTTTCCCAATAACTATAGCCTTATTTTATAAATATAACATTAGTATTTATAATAGACCTGAAGTTTATTATGACGACTCGTGCTTTTCTACTTTTTACACATTTAATCGTACCTGATGTACACTCATCACCCGCTATTTTCGCTTTTACAAAACCGAATCGGAATTACAGAAATTAAAAATTCGGACCTGGATTAAACAAATTTAAGAATTTTCAGATTATTAGATAGTAAATTTACCAATTTAGTTAAATTGAACTTTTCCAGCCTGGCAATGATTATACCAATTAATTATCGGTAAAGACTTGAAACTAACCGAAATGTATTTGGTTATTCTAGTTATTTTTCTTTGAGAATTCTCAAGTCAATTTTAATTATTATTATGAACTTCTATTTCTGTTATTTAGTCTATATCGTATTGAAACAATACCCTTAAACTCTTCGATTTATAATTTGATAAAACTGTGTATAAGTGGAAAGAAAGATCATAGAAAAAAATAGTAATTAGAAATAAAATTACTTGAAGTTTGGCTGGGAGTGGTGCAGGGGCGAATGGTTTCGCTTGTTGTTCGTCTGCCTGTTTGAGGGGAGCCGTCGTGTACTGCACTTTCTGGAGCCTTCCATCAGGAAGGTAGACGTGATATTCACCGGAATCCGATCCCTGCTGGGCCTTAAGCCGCGCCATCACTTCCTCGGTCACTTTGGCCAAATCGCTCATCTCGGTCGGCTTGGGAGAGACGACGAAGTAGAAGCTCCTCTGGTCGTTGGGGGCTTCGGCGACTGCTGCGGCTACGAGGCAGAGAACGATGAACAACTTCATGTTTCGGCTGTTGACGAACTGATACTCGAACCATTTGTTTTGGAAGACTATATATACTCGTGGATCTCATCCTTGACCTCAAACACGCCGTAATTCTGAATAGTAATCGACAAGAGCGCTTATCAGTATTCCGCCATCGGCCGACGGTTGAGTATTAACGCCCTTCATAAATCCAACTATGTGCTGCTGTTAGTCAACCAGTTTGTAACGTTTTGCTAGGTTCATCACGCACATTTTACGTAAGAATCGAACCACGTTTCACATTCTTATTTTTTCAATAGCCTCAGAACAGGGCATCATATCTTCATCCATCTAATAGAACGTTTTTAAATAAACACTTCATGGAAACATCTGAAAAAATATATAGTTGATTATAACAAAAGAAGTATGTGAAATGTGGATTAATTGAATCCCTCTTTGGAATTTATTTACTTTACAAAAGCCCATTAAGTATTATTTAGCCATTTCAATTGTCAAATACAAAAACGTGTGATTTTTTACCAATAAAATTATGAGTTATACGAAGTTTAATTTAATAATCCACAAAATTTACAGCAGAGATTTCGTTCATTTACACTATAATGTTCGTTCTAAACCGAACGAGATAAGTGGTAGAGTCGACCCCCTCTATTAAAAAACTAAACCTGTGGGCGAGTTTAATTTTTAGGTAATAATATTAGGTTGTTATTATTGTTTGAACAAAATTAAAATACTTACAAAAAATTTTTGCAACCCTTCTGTTGTTACCTTTAGGTACCATTTTGGTAATATTTCCTAAAATTTAAATGCTTTAACATAGCTTTGTATTTTGCTTATTTCCTTAAATATCGCGGTCTAACCCACTAGTGGAAAAAGAAAGAAGAATAGAGAAAAGGAGAGAGAGAGAGAGAGAGAGAGAGAGAGAGAGAGAGTGAGAGAGACTTGTAGACATGTTCTTTAGCAAAACCTTTTGTTTTGTTTTTATTACAAATTACAAAAGGTTCTGCCCGCTTTGCCTTGTATCCCGCTTCATTCATTCATTCATAGTTTACCAGTATGCTGTGTAAAATTTGTTCTAAAAGCTGCAAGTCCTTCAGCAAGTTCATGTGCACTCATTCTTGGATTTTATGAAGCTAGCCTAATTCATGCTCCAGCCCGCCGAAACTTTCCTAAATCTGCCATTTAGGCAGAACCAGTTTTGGACTTTTTTTAATCATATATTTATTATCGGTGAAAAAATAAAGGAAAAAATGTCTCTCTCTTTTCTCCTCTCTTCTTCACAGATAGTTCGCACATTTAAGCCAAAATATTTTTAATAATATAGAGAGATTATGAGAGATTAGAGAGAGATTAGTCGTAGATATATTTGTGTTAAATGTTGACCACTTGCTATTCTTACATTAGCCTAAAATAATAAATGAATTTGTTGTAAGTTCCACGGTTTTATAATTTAAAAGATTGGTGAAAAATTAAAACGAAATATTCCGTGGTGAAAATTATTTTGTTATAATGGTTTCGGGCTTAATCATCGGCAGCCCAAATGGGTTATTCACAAATTTTCGTAGAGGGGCCTGAAAAATTTTAAAGAACCTGTTACAAAAGGGTAGAAGTAAATAAACCTGGCTAATGTATGAAAACGTGTTTTGATTTTAAAAAATACTTGGCGAAGTTTCTTTACTTGAAACCTTAAACAAGTAACAAATTATGCCTTTAAATGAAGCTGATTGATTGAATGAGTAGGCTGAAAATGTTCCCAATCGATATAAACTCACAAGAAGTTATTCTTAATATACTATCTAAACTTTTTGTCGCAATTCGTATTAACTTTATATATAAGAACACATTCACACGCCTACACATTCAGGGAAATTAAGGACAAACTGAACTTGGGTGAAAATAACGGTAAATAAATAATTTTATCAATAGAACGTGTAGCAGAACGATTTTATTAGATTGTACATCAACTCCCTTAATAGCTTATTCAATTAATGTTTATTCTGATACTTGTATTAATAATTTAATTTAAATTCAACTTAATTTAGTTAGAATATATCAGTACTGATAGGAATACATATAGCTCTATTGGCTGTGTGGAAATACGTCGTGTTTGAGGTCAAGGAAGGGATCCTCGAGTATATATGCTTCCAAAACAAAAGGTTCGAGTATCAGTTCGTCAACAGCCGAAACATGAAGTTGTTCATCGTTCTCTGCCTCGTAGCCGCAGCAGTCGCCGAAGCCCCCAACGACCAGAGGAGCTTCTACTTCGTCGTCTCTCCCAAGCCGACCGAGATGAGCGATTTGGCCAAAGTGACCGAGGAAGTGATGGCGCGGCTTAAGGCCCAGCAGGGATCGGATTCCGGTGAATATCACGTCTACCTTCCTGATGGAAGGCTCCAGAAAGTTCGGTACACGACGGCTCCCCTCAAACAGGCAGACGAACAACAAGCGAAACCATTCGCCCCTGCACCACTCCCAGCCAAACTTCAAGTAATTTTATTTCTAATTACTATTTTTTTCTATCATCTTTCTTTCCACGTATACACAGTTTTATCAAATTATAAATCGAAGAGTTTAAGGGTATTGTTTCAATACGATATAGACTAAATAACAGAAATAGGAATTCATAATAATAGTTGAAATCGACTCGACGATTCTCATGGAACTCTCTAGAATAACCAAATAAGTTTCGGTTATTTTTCAAGCTTTTACCGAAAATTAATAGTATAAGCATGGCCAGGCTGGAAAAGTTCAACTTAACTAAATTGTTAAATTTATTATCTAACAATCTGAAAATTCTTAAATTTGTATAATCGAGGTACCAATTTTTAATTTCTGTAATTCCGATCTGGTTTTTCTGTTAAAAAAAGTCCTTCTGTAAAAGCGAAAATAGGGGGTGATGAGTGTACATCAGGTACGATTAAATGTGTAAAAAGTAGAAAAGCTCGAGTCTTCATAATAAACTTCAGGTCTATTATAAATACTAATGTTATATTTATAAAAGAAGGCTATAGTTATTGGGAAAAACGATCGATGAAACCTGTAAAAGTCCCCTCTTTACAGTTCCTCAAAACAGCCTCATTTATTTTGTTATAGAATAGTTCACTGTTAAAAATTAACTTCTTTTAAAGAAATAAACTTGTTTGATTCTTACTCTAAAAACTGTTAGTTTATAAGTAGCTATAGATAATGAAAATTAATCCTTTAATTAACATTTTAAGGCTTTCCAACCGACTTACTTCGTGAAACAAGTCGCACCTATGACCGAAGCGTATAAAATGGAAGAGAAGCCGACCAACTTTGTCGCCAGTGTGAAGTACACCGACGTCAAACCCCTTTCAGGACCCGTGTACGCTTACAACCCCGAACCACTCGTTCGCCTCGTCCGCTACGCTCCCGTCTACCAATAAATGTAATTAATTATTTATTCCAACAAGAGTGAAATAAAAGACATCAAATGAAACGACCTGCGTTTTATTTTTACACCGATTCGTTCGTCATGGCGCTCATTTGGATATCTGGGTGTTCGGGAAAAAGGGGAAAGTTCACGGTAAATCTAATTTGCTTTTCTCTTTCTGTCCGAGCAACTCCTTTAACCAAACAGTAACACAATTGAAAACCATTGGAGTGTAAATAAATCAATAATACATTTCTTGTGCACCTAATCACGTCTTAAAAATCATATCACATAAAATATGTTTTAATTACTTCAACTGAATATTTTACTTGTTTAACAAAAACCCCTTAGAACAAGATCGTACAGGTGAAATATTTTCTCAGCCAACTAGATAAACATAATGAGGGAATAGGAATGTCCTTAAAGTTAAACTTAATGGAAAATTTTATGTTATTTTAATTGTTCTGCATATGCCGTCATGATACGGAAGCAATTCAAATTGTGTGAAAAATGTGACCTGATGAGATTTTGAGCACTATTCGAAGTCTATATAAAACGGTATGTTTATAAGGTGAACTGTGGGGGCGAGACAGGAAAAAAGAGTAAGGGAGGAGAGAGTGTTCGAGAAAGAGGAGACAGCAGACCATATTCTATAACTAAACAAATACAATTTACAACATATATATTAACACATTATAAGATTGGTAAATCAATGCCTTTTTGATTAATATTTTGTCTGGAAACTTTTGTTAGCTAACTAGCAAAACATAATGAGGGAATAGGAATGTCCTTAAAGTTAAAGTTAAATGGAAAAGTTTACGTTATTTTAATTGATCTGCATATGCCGTTATGATTCGGAAGCAATTCACATTATGTGAAAAAAGTGACCTGATGAGATTCTGAGTATTATTCTCGAGATAGAAAGAAGTCCACATAAAACGATATGTTTATATAGGTGAGTTGTGGGGACGAGATACAAATAAATGGAAAGAGTGGAGAGAGGACGTGAGAAAGAGGAGACAAGAAATGAAATAAGTGCGAGCGAAGTGAGAACAATAGACGTGAAGGTAAAAAAGCCCATTACAAAATTCTAAAAAGCATATTGCTTTTGTGTGTTAAATTTTGATGATGGTGTGCAAGAAAGGTATCGTTATTAAACAAACATTAATAGGCACATAATTGATATTGCAATTGCACGTTGCAACGCTTGTACAACTCATAATTTCATAAGTTAAGCAGAAAATTGAGCTACTAGATCACGAGAGGACGAGAGAGTGAGAGTGGGGAGTGAGAGAGTGGAGAGAGAGAGAGAGAGAGAGAGAGAGAGAGTGAGTGAGTTAATGAGTGGAGAGATAGTTTCGTTTATTTTTTCACCGATCCTTTTTCCAATAAGATATGATAGTTCACATTATCAATTTTCTATGATGTGATCTAATATGCCGACGAAAAAAACCAGGCCAGTACCAAAGCCGTATTGTTGCCTTTCCATTACACCTTTTTGGGGTAAATTATTTAGGTCCGCTTCGGAAAGAAGGAACATAAAATAAAAATTATATACTTCATGGTTAACAAAAGCCAATTGGATCAATATTTCTAGCCATTCACCACGACCAGAATCTGGTCGCCTTCTAATCCAGACGTATTGATTTTTATCCAATTTATCGGTTTTTGGGGCGTTCCATTTTCAAAGTATCTACTATTGTTTTTTTATTCGTTTATTTTTCAATTGCAATTAATATTTAATCACTGTTTTTAGTTGAGTTCTTGGAATCTCGGGCATTCTGTTTGTAGCACTCATGAGAAAAGTTAAGATTAAAAAAAATTTAAACAAAGTCTTTTGGTAACAATATTGATATATTTCTATAACAAAAAAAAAGGCAGTATTAAAAAGTGTACCGAAAAAAAACCACTTGAATTAGTTAGTTAGTAAATATTTACATTTACCAAGACAAACTTAAACAGACAAGTCTACCTTTTTTCGTTTACTTCCCATATACACAGCCATAATTAGAATAGTTTCATTAATTTATTTATTATAGTAGTTTAGAAATGTAAATAATAAGTATTTTGTTTCATACTAAGATAATAATGAGAATATTATTATTATGAATGTATACAAGCTGTAAGACAAGCTTTCGTCAATGTCCAATGTTCTGATTACTGATTACTTATTCACATAAGCTCAAATCTCCACATGCATGTACATACACATGTACAGAGTTGTGCTTATCCCTTCTTGCAATCCACCGGCATTTCCAGATTTTGTAATTTAAAGTAAATTACTGGCAGGCCTCGGAAATCAGGCCCTTGCCAGTCCTAGATCCGTCTGTAAAGACGTGCCGAAAACTGGCGTTCCTCTATCTAAGTGCCAAGAACTAAATCGCCCCGTACGAGTAACGAGTCACCCGGTTGCTCAGCTCGAGTGCCGTTCCCAATCTCTGACATCCTATGGCTGGATAGCGTATTACCAGGGGTCGCGTCCGGATCTCAAGTCGCTCTCTTCTGCTGTACCCACGACCGGACACGAAGACGGGTGTCCCGGTTGAAACTAGGAACCCCGCCGCATAGCAGAGGGTAAGCTTCTTTCTCTGAAGTTCGGGTGGCAGCACTCCCAACTCACAGCACATGTGGTTAAGCGGGGCGGAGATCTCTCGAAGGCCCTGCTAGTAGAGCCTATCGAGCGAGTTTTACGGGCAGAAGAATACGCCATGTGACCATAAAAGAAGGGCGAGGACATCAGCGAATCAGTTTCGAGCGGGTCTCCCTGTCGTACCTCACCTGAAGACCAATGAACTGTAATAGTTATGATTTTTCTTCCATTCACCTCACGAGCCACAATGTTTATCGCAAACTGCATCACCCCTCCGACCTATACTTGGTCTTTCCCCGAAAGGTAAAAGTAGAAGTCGTCGACATAGTGACGTACAGTACTCTTCAGATTCGTCGTTGGACACCGTCAGCGACACCGTCCACTGTTGATGCTGTTGCATTACAAATTCATTGCACCTATAAATATTATCCAGATTGAAAGTTTATATAAGCCTTGAAAAGCAGAATATTTGCTTCTTTCAGCCTATCTGAACAACGTTTATATATTATGTCAATGTAAGGATAGAACTAATGCTAAATTAAAAAATTACTGCTCTTTATTCTATTATTTATTTTATTTCCACGGTTGTAATTTATTTGCGGAGACGACGTTTGTGCCATTACGAGTAAGGTATAACCTGTGAAATTTCATCTAGATCGGTGGAATTCGTTTCAATAGTTATCACCAGTTTTGTGATTTTCGAGATAAAAAAATTTGGAAGGCGAACATTTCGAGGAAAAGAAATTTTTAAATCAAGTATACCTTCACTCCCAAGAATATATTTTATAAAATAGTTAATAATAAAATTATATATAGATCAATTTTATTTCTTTCTAAATAGTTGTTTCTTCTGTCCACTTTACTAACTCTGTCTACCATGTATAAGATATTTCAATATCTACGGTACTCTTGTTTTGACTAACTCCCAAATACAATTTTGATGTTGTGACCTAGTGACTGTATATTATTTTCTTATCCTAGATTAAAGACCCAAACAGAATGATATAAAATGATTTTTAAATGTATGCAAGACAAAGGCAGAAAAGCATATTAAAAGAAACTATGGAAATTATTTAAAATATCTGTTACTTGGCTCTTAGGGAAATAAATCTAATAAATCTGGAACACGTTTCTAATATTTTTCAACCTACGCTAAACAATTTATAATAATATATTATTTTTAATTTTTTAACAATGGGCTTTTAATTTCTGTAACTTATACTGATTTTTCTGTAACAGTAATGATCTGCTTATATCAAAACAATTATTTAGAGATTCTTCTAGCTTTATTGGTTCTTTATTAACATTAAAGGCAAATACCAAAGGAGGATATGACTGGGTAAAATGAAGTTTAACTAAATTAAATAATTATAAAGTTTTTTTATCAGCTAACCAGTTATTTGGCCAATCCTTTCTGTATGGATATCTCAAAAAAACCTTTATGCTCAGTACGTTAAATATTAAGGCTACTGACTAATTCGTCGATTAAAGATTTCGTAAAAGTCAGATAATTATTTTTTTTTATTTTTATTTAATCGTCTTAACTTCAAGGGTTATTTTTATTTTTACGACCGACACGGAAGTAAAATAAAATAAAATATACACGTTCCACGCGTGAAATTTCCGGTTCCAGTAACTTTTTACGCCGGATAAATCGTTCTTTTAAACCTTGAAACCAGCCTTATCCAACACCATTCGTCCTGGAGCAAAGCGAGTGTCAACGAATCAGTCGAAACAAAATGAAAGCACTTTTGTTTCATTTTTACCTTTAATAATTAATTAGTTACACTTGATTTTTTTCAAATAAATAATTTTATTAACTCTTTAAAAGGTAATAGCAATTCCTAGACAAACATTGAATCGAATCTGTGAGAACACCCACTCGGTGTTAGGTGGTCCGTGGTGAACTTTTGTTGTCTTATCCGCATCAAAGCCGAAGTTTGGCTTCACGGGCTATCACCAACGTCATTTCAGCCTCCAAAGCTTTTAGTGTTACCTAAAAACATTTTCTTACTCGGTGGATATTTATACATCACCTTTAGTCATACAAACAACTACACAAACATTACCGAGAACAATGATGGTCGATCAATACTCAATATTACACCGTCGTCTGTCTCTCTTCTACCTCTCATTCACGGTTATTAATACATTCTCTCGAAAAATTAACACAAATTACATCTATCACCAAACTTTTATGTATTCTTCTTATGTTGCCGTCACCTGTCGAAGGTTGGCGATCAACATAGATGTTTAAACCTTTGAACCGCCGCTCGAATCAGTTCCACCGATGAACACCTGAACCACCTTCCCAGATATTTAGCCACGAATTTTCCGAACCACGTCTTCTTCTTATGGATATTTTTCCATTTACTTTTCCTTCCAAAACTTGCTTAAGCAGTTCGTAACGTTCCCCTCTCATGATGTATTTCAGATATTTTACTTTTCTTTCCTTCATTGTTTTCATTAGTTCTAC